TGGGCCCGAGGTATCTAAAACTCACTTGTTTTTGAGTGGACACTTCTGCATATAGGGCGAGGGCTTCATTTCTACTGGCCCACCTGAGCTTACTGCAGAGGTGGCTACTGGGAAGTAGGGAGGGTGAGTCTTCAGAGGTGAGCATGAGTCTGAGCACAGTGGAGGTGGGAGGGGAATAGGTCACTAACGCAGGGACAGAGGAGGAGGCTGGAAGGGCTGTTCATACTTCTCTTGCTTCAGATAAAAGATCCTTCTTATGTGTCAGGAAGTCTGAAAAAAACTTCCATGTATATTATTCACAGGAAGAACATTAAGGCACCTTGAGCAAGTCAAAACACATCTAATGAACTGGGTCTCTATATCTTCAATATACAAAATGTTGTTTGATCTCAAACACTGTTATTAGGAGACTCCAAGGCTTCCCCTTCCTTCTCTTTTAGCATCTGTTACCAATTTGCTCTTCTCTAGTACGACTCCTTCTTTCTCATAATATTTACCATAAAACTTCCACTCTTGTCTAGAAGCAATAAATGTTGGAGAAAAAGAACACACACTATAGAAAAATGCTAAAGTTTAAGAATCTTCTTATTTTCTGTATTACCTATGTCCATGCAATTTTCTTGCTAGAGCAAACAAATATGGTGGTGGCAGCGGTGATGATGATGACAATATGATGGTGATGAAGACACTGATTATCTGCTGTTGCTAATAAATTCCCAATCATTCAGGGCTGATTATGTGTCAGGCATGGTGCCAACCAAATTACACTTATTAATTCAACTTTATTCCAAAGATAAGTTTGTCATATAAATACTATTTTTCTCATTTTGCAGTAGAGAGATTCAAATTCTGAGAAGTTGATTTGTTCCTCAAATCAATTAAACAGTAATTAGGGAAAATAACATGGGCTTAAAGTTATATAGAAATAATCTTTGGTATGACTCACAAGTCATATAACACTGATTGTAAGAGCCTAGACCTGGAGATCAAAGAAAGATATGATATTGCTAACAAAGCAGGTTTGAAAAGAAATAAAATATTTATCCCATCGCAAAAATGATATACTTTAGTCAGTAAGTGAAAGAAAAGTTACAATTGCTCAGGTGATAGAAGTTCATTCCTGGATGACAGACACAGAGACATCAATGGAATCCTCTGGTGACACCCAGGGAGACAGCTGCTGCTCTCCTCTGGGATGGTGGCACAGCAGAGGACTTTCCCTTTCTCGGTCACCACCTGGAGAGGAGCTGTATAAAATTCTCAGGAAGGAGACCTTTTGCTGTCAGGAATCATGAGAGACAGATTACAGGCTAAAAGGTAGAGAAGCTTCTTCCGTATCCATGACAGGCTGAGAAAGAAGATGAAGGTGAAGCTGGGGAACTAGGTGAGCCAATGGACCTTATCCTTTCCTGATCCTGATGAATCCAGAAGCTGTTACTTGCTCTTGGGTGGACACTTCTGCTGGCAGGGTTGAGGAGGTGGCACAGGAGGGCATTTCTGCTGGCTTGGCTGAGGTGGACATGGCTCAGGGCACTTTGGGGGTGGACATGGCTCAGGATACTTTGGGCATGGGCATGGCTCAGGACACTTTGGGGATGGGCATGGCTCAGGATACTTTGGGGGTGGGCACACAGGAGGTGGCTGGCAGGGCTGCTTGCACTGCTGCTGTTGATAAGACATCGTCTGGAGTCTCAGAATCTGAAAGAAATTATATGACAGTGTTCACCAAAAAGGACTCCTACAGAGAGAGAAGCCAAAGCTTATGTAATAGCATGGGATATTATTTCTCCAATCTCCAAGAATCTGCTCTAATGTCTTAACTGCTTTTTTATATCTCTCTGGCTTCTCCCTTGCACTTTAGCAAATTGCTTTATTAGTGCTAAGACAATCCTGTGTGTTCTCATCTCATTTTTCCACAGAAAATATCTCTGCTATAAAGAACCAAGGAATGTTGTTTGCATGAAATAACATCTTCAGGAAAAGCAGTCACTGTTCAGAAATCCTGGGCAATTGCAGAAGCAGTTTCCATCATCATTATCTGTTGTGAAGTCCTAGTAGGCTGACTTGCATACACAGCAAAGGACTGTTCAGGAAGAATTCAAGGGTCTCACACCTCCTAAGACATAAGCCTTTGGAAGGGACATGAAGAAGTTATGGAAAAGAGAAAAATACTTTGTTCTTTTCTCTTCAAATCAAAGCTTACCTATTAACTTCTTTGCCCATGTGGATATCAACTATCTACCCCTAAACAAAATGAAACGTACATCATTATGCCCTAATCCAACATTTCCATCCACTAAGTATCATTAAATTCATGACCATAACTTTGGATCCACCAAACTTCTTGCTTTAGATTCAGTTCAATATTTGAAAGTGCCAAAAAACTGCAGATGAACTCAGAAACTTGGACTTGTCAAGTTCTTCAACGTGGATCAGGAATCTAGTGCTAGGAGTTTAGAAATTGTGCAGCAGACCTCTTTGCAGGGCTTGCTGCCCCACCCAGGGGGAAGTGGAACTACCTAAAACTGGGCTGGTGCAATAATTTCCTAACCAGAATGCAATTCCTTCCATCACCTCCTTGACAGGGACTCTGGAAACAGGAAATATCTCTTCTGGAATGTTCTTACTGGGATAAGTGCTTGTGATTCACAGAATCCCTAACTTAGCTCTCAGTTTCAACATCTTAAGGCAATGGAAGGAAGGATTTGGGGGATTTTCTAACTGGTGGCCATTGGTTCTCTTTCTTTATTGGTGATAGTGCTTTCTACCTATCTTACACCTACCCTGAATCATAAAACTGCCTTCCCTGTTCCACTTCAGCTGATTGCCATATTATTGTACATATAGTGTCATCACCAAATGATTCATATAGACTATTACACACTCTAAGTACATCAGAGGGCTAGGTAAAGGGCTATAATCAATAGGTTGCTTACTACTCCCCATAGCCTCACATCACATCTAAAACATAAATCCTTGGAGAAATGTCTGATTTCTGTCATCCAATATGTGAGAATTAACTAGCCAAATGGGATTACAGTGTCAGATAACACAGTTTTGGTCACACCTTGAGACTGTCCTGATGAGGACCTCACTCAAAAAGGCTGCTAATCATGACAGTGTAGGCAAAGTGACCAAAGTCATGGGAGCCCTGGTGACCCCAACATTTCAGACAGGAGCCACTTTATAGGTTGAGGTGGTAATCTTGAACACTCAGAGTTCCTCACAAATCAGCTCTGTGACAAGCTGTGAAAGTTGAAGAATGACACCTAACAATCAAAGTTTCTCCAAATTTGCACATCCAAAACCTGAGACATGGAACCCAGCACACTACACACACACACACACACATACAGACACACACACACATGAACATACACACACACACATGAACATACACACACATGCATGCTCACACACCATGGGTCTTGTCTGCCTAGCTATCTACCTACATAGCTAAAGAACTGGCTTGCTGGTCTTTTAAGTTCAGATAGCCCTAGTTTCAATCCTACTACTTCCACTTCCTAATGTTCTAAGGGGTTTACTATAAATAATTACTACATAAAAAAAGTTGGGAAAAAACCCAAAATTTTAAAATTCTGTCTAATTCTTTTTATTTTTAAATTATTTTATTTTTATTTATACATATTTATGGGGTACAGAGTTGACAATCAGTATTTGTGTACAGTATGTGATGATCTAATTAATATCACTATCATGTTCATCATTATAAATCATAATTACTTTTTGTGTCCCTTACTTAATTACTCCCTATATCCCCTCCCCTTCCCCCTTTCCCATCTCCAGTAACTATATGTCTGTTCTCTCCTTCTAATTCTTGATTCAACATTTTATCTCACATATTGTGTTGTTATCATTATAAATCATAATTACTTTTTGTGTCCCTTACTTAATTACTCCCTATATCCCCTCCCCTCCCCCCTTTCCCATCTCCAGTAACTATATGTCTGTTCTCTCCTTCTAATTCTTGATTCAACATTTTATCTCACATATTGTGTTGTTACTGTGTGTTTATTTTGGTGGCTGGATGTACAGGAATGGACCCCTGGGCTTTGGTGTTATCAGCACTAGGCTCTAGTCAACTGAGCTAACAGGCCAGCCCTTCACTCACATTTTATGACTATATGTTATATACTATTAAACAAAACAGTCCCTGCAAATCAAGATTCTGTAATAAAATATAGAAGAAATAAAAGGAAATAAGATTTGCAGTAAAATATTCCTGACATGCTCAGAGAAATGGTAACTGGGAGCCCCCTTAGACTTCTGCCTTCTGCTCTTATTCCTGAATGTAAGGCTCACAAAGAGAATATTTTTGAAGATTATTTAATATTATCAAAAATATTCAAATTTTAATAAAAAATATGTAAAGTACGAAGACATTTTGATGAATACATATTCATGAGAAGACAGAAAATAACTTTACTAATTTGTTGAAAGTAGTTATAATTGGCTCACTTAACTACAGATGATTTTTATTTTATTTTTCTTTTCAAAATATGTTCCAAAAAATATCCATTATTGAGTATAGAATCTTAAGATTGTACATTGAAAAGGTGACAAGAGACACGTCTGTTCATTTCTCAATTAAAGAGAAAATGTTCTTCTTCCTTTCCAAACCTGAGGTTCTGCCCAGAATTTCTGGCCAGACACTATAGGTAAGGCTGGAGGTGGGTGGGTGTTGTTTTATTGTTACATTCCCACATTCTATCACATCCCAATTATTATCCCTCTTAAAGAAAAATCTCAATGATAATCCACCTTCCTCCTGCAATTGACATATACCCACAGAAGCCACAGGTATCCAATAGTCATATGCAACATTTCAACCAAAAGTGGGGGATCATACTTGGGTAAGAAAACAAAATGAGAAATAAATTTGTCTACTCTCCTAGAGTCAGCCAGACAGAAATCCTAAGTCACTCAGATTATTATAAATCAGGAAGAAACGGATGATACTAAGAGAGGCGATAAGGATTATAGAACCTAGTGATAGTAACAGTTCCTACCTCTAAGTTGTTCGAAATAATTTAAATAAAAAACTGCAATATAAAGCAGCACAGGCTATGGGAAGTGCTCAAATAGTAAAGTAATACATTGTTAATCAATGAAGCAGAGGCAAAATTTAATTGGTAACCATAGTAGAAATGGGATAAATTTAATAATGATAAATGTTAAACACAATGTTACAAAAAATTATAATTTTCTTTATATATACATTCTCTGCATACAAATTAAATTCAATTCAGTGCATTGTGATCCTCCAAGAAAAAGAAAAAAGAAAAAAAAAAAGGAAAATGGGGAATAAAACAGCTATAACATTAACAAAAGAGAAAGAAATAGAAACAAAATATCAAGTTCAAGTTGTGTTTGATGGTCCATCAAGTTATTTGCCTTGTCTTTTACAGGAATTGCATTCAAACTGTAGGTCTTTTAGGTAGAACTGACATCTAAAAAATATTGTTTTACAATCCATGAACATGGGTGGCTTTCCATTATTTTGGTTTTTAATTTATTTCTTTTTAAGTAAGTGTAACATCTTCATTCATCAGAAATTGCCAATTTAAATCAGAATGAGATAACACTACACATTACTCAGAATGCTTAAAATAAAAAACAGACACAGCAAATGAGGATTTGGAACAGCCAGAACTGTTATGCGTTGTTGGTGGGAGTGTGAAATGTTACACCACTATAGGAAAGTGTCTGTTTCTCTTAGCAATGTTTTTTAGTTTTTAGTGTGCAGGTGTTTTGCCTCCTTAGTTAAATTTCTTCTTCTTTTTTTTTTTTTGTCTTTTTTCCGTGTCCGGTAACGGATCGCAACCCTCAGTGTCGCCCCCGTACCGGACCGGGACCGGCAACGGGATCGCAACCCTCGGCGCTGCTCCTGCACCTCGCTCAGCCAGTGAGCGGGAACCGGTCTGTATGTGGGATCCGAACCCTCGGCGGGAGCGCCGCCACGCTTCCCAAGCAGCGCACTAGCGCAGTGTGCCACCGGGCCGGCCTAAATTTATTCTTAAACATATTATTCTTTCTGATCTTATTGTAAATGGAATTGTTTTCTTA